CACTTGGCAGGCGCTAAGTGAGTGCTAAGTGCTCAGTTAGTGTGAGCTATAACTGTTATTAAAACAGAAGTCATGGCTCCCCGAGTCCAGGTCCTCTGTGAACACCAGCAGGGTGTCCCTTGTCATGGCCTCTGCTCCAGGGTTAGGGGAGGCCACCTGCCTACATGATGTACACTGGGTTAAAGATGTGGCTTTACGTCAAAGAAATGCTGCCTAAGTTGATCTTGAAGTTTCATTTTACACATATATTAAATTAGTGCAAAAATGGAAAACTGGAGCATCTGTACATGGCTGGTTGCCACATAAATGGTCCAATCCCTTTGAAAAGTGATTCTTGGCCACAGCCGTAAAAAGTCAATATCCTCTGACCCAGTAATAGCACTCCTGGGAATTTAGCCTAGAGAAATAATTCAACAGACTTAAAGAGAAAAAAACAAAAACCACCAAACAAACAGCTATCTGCATGAAACTGATCCTGCGATGAGCATCTGGAAGAAAAATAATTAGAAGCAGCCCATATCTCCAACAACAGGAGTCAGGTCAAGTGACTGATGGGCGGCAGAGCTGCGGATGAATCGGAGGGAATTATGGCAACATTAAATGGTAATTACACAGCGACCCAGAAGCTGTAACAATGTCTACATATGGGAAAGGGCTGCAAGGGGGCTGCACAAAGGGATAAAAACACTCAAACCAAACCCACTGCCAGAGACTCGATTCTGACTCATGGTGACCCCACGGGTTACAGGATAGAACTACCTCATAGGGTTTTCTTGGCTATAATATTTCTGGAAGTAGATTGTCAGGCCTTTCTTCTGCAACCCTGCTAGATGGGTCAAACTGCCAACCTTTAGGTTAGTAGTCAAGTGCAAACCATTTGCACTACCCAGGGACCATTCAAAAGGGATAACCCAGAAACCAAACCAAACCCCTTGCCGTCAAGTCGATTCTGACAGAGTAGAGCTGCCGCATATGGTTTCCAAGGAGGGGCTGCTGACCAGTGGCTGGATTCCGAAGGCCGACCTTTTGGTTAGCAGCCGTAGCTCTTAACCACTGCACTGATAAGGCAGTGGAATTAAATGCAATTTTCCCTCCAAAAATCTTTAGACTTTATTCAATGAACAAAAACAACAACAAAAACAGAAAGGAAAACACGAACAATTTCCTCCTAAGCCCTCAAATGTGGCTCCCACTTGAGGCCTGGGGGGCGGGGACCAATCAGCTTTACCTTCCCTCCCCTTTTTAGTATCAGTGGGGAGAGGGAGAGGGGACGCAGAGCCCTGCAGGCAGCGATGGAGGCAGGGATGTGCTGAGGATTATGGGAGCAAGGGAGGGGACAGAGTGTGATCATGGAAGGCTTCCAGGAGGAGGTGTTCTCAAAGCAGACTCTTAAATGAAGAGCAGGGATGCACCGGAAGTGGACTAGGCAGAGGCAAGAAAAAACTGGGAGGTGGGTCTGGAGAGCTGGGCCACATCTGACATGGCAGCCTGGGAGCAGGCTGAGGAGTTCGCACCAAAGGCCTTTCTACAAGGGAGCTCCATGGAGGGGCTTAAGGAAGATCCCTGGGGCTGCAAAGAGAAGGGCTGATGGAGGGGTGCCCTGGAGATAGGAGACCAGTAAGGAGGCTGGTGCAAGCACCCAGAGAGAGACGAGGCTGACAGGAACAAGGGGTCGGGGGAGGAGCCAAGGATAGCTCCCAGGTTTACACCTGAGAAGCAGGTTGGGGAGGTGCTGAGTTCAGGTGGGAACGTGTGAGGTTAGGGGGTGGGTGGGATGTCCAGGGGCTCAGCTGGATCTACCGGCCTGGAGCTCTGGAGGGCAATCTGGGCTGGAGGGGCGCAGTGGAGCGGGGTGTTAGAAGCCCTGGGGTGTGGCTAAGTTCACCCAGGGACAGTGAGAGTGCCGTCAGGCGGAGTGCTAACTTTAGAAGACCGTGCAAGGAGCAGAGAAGCCACAGCCAGAGAGGGAGGTGGAGACGCAGGAGCGGAGAAGCCAACGGCATGGAGACTTGGAGAATGAGGGAGTGATCGGAGGGGTCAGGTGCCCAAGAGGGGTCCAGCAAGACTAGGATGGAAGAGTTCCTGTCTGATTTGTCCACTTTGGTGACTTCAACAAGAGCACTTGGGAGAGGGAAATAGCGGCCAGGAAGTGACCCTGAAAATCGGAGGGCATTCTTGTGGGGATGCTGGATGAGAAGAGAAGGGGAGAAATTGGATGGTGGCTAGAGGAAGCATGAGGTCCCGCTGACACCAGTCGTCTGACCCCACATCTGTCGGGCTCCAGAGGCCAGCCCCTCCCAAAGCCCCCAAGGCTGGCTCTGGCTGCTGCCAGCTCCAAGGGTAGACCTGGTGGCCAAGCAGCCCCCTGCCTCTGTCTCTCCATGTCCACTGCACAGAAAGCAAGAGGGCATGTATGTGGGGAAAGCCAGGGTTCTCCCAGCTAGGAAGGTTGACCTGGTGCCAAAGCCCAGCCATCAGGATCCCCTCAACCTCAGCAGGCTAAATGGAGGGGAGCCCACCCTGCCAAGTGCGACAGGTGCTGAGGGAACAGGCCCAGGGCAAGCCCAGCCTGCCGGCCCCAGACATGGGGGAGCCACCTGTGCCATATGTGTGTGTGGGGGGGGGCAGGGGCTACGGTAGGCAAGGAGGAAGTTTACTGAAAATCAAATCTTTTTTTTTTTCTTACTATAATCTGTTTCCTAAAAGGAGTGTTTGTTCCCATTTTGATTTTTGACTGTATTAAAATAAAACAACTTAGTAATATTTTAATTTCAATGTCCATGGAAGCAACAGTCAAGAAATCAAATCATGCATTGCATTGGGCAAATCTGCTGCAAAAGACCTCTTTAAAAGTATCAAAAAGCAAAGACGTCACTTTGAGGACTAAGGTGCACCTGACCCAAACCATGGTGTTTTCCCAGTCGCCTTATATGCATGTGAAAGATGGACAATGAATAAGGAAGACCGAAGAAGAACTAATGCCTTTGAATTGTGGTGGTGGCGAAGAATACTGAATATACCACGGACTGCCAGAAAAACAAACAAATCTGTCTTGGAAGAAGCACAGCCAGAATGCTCCTTGGAAGCGAGGATGATGAGACTTCTTCTCACATACTTTGGACATGTTAGAAGGGGGGACCAGTCCCTGGGGAAGGATATCATGCTTGGTAAGGTAGAGGGTCAGCAAAAAAGAGAAAGACCCTGGATGAGATGGATTGACACAGTAGCTGCAACAATGGGCTCAAACATAGCAACAATCGTGAGGATGGTGCAAGACAGGGCAGTGTTTTGTCCTGTTGTACATAGGGTCACTATGAGTCGGAACCAGCTGGAAGGCATCTAACAACAACAATATTATAGCTTAATGATAAAAATAGTAGTTACTCAAATGGATTGAGTACTAGCTGTGCCAGGCACTGTTCTGGAAGCTTCACAGGGATGAACTCACTTAACCCTCCTAACACTCCAATGAAATAGCTGCTATTATTATCCCAACTTTACAGCTGAAGAAACTGAGGCTCCCCTTCACTGCTGACTTTCAGCGTTTCTTTGATTATTTTTCTGCGCATGGCCCTCTCATTCTAGAAACCCCCACAGAGCTGGTGTGGGGAAAGAAGGGTGCTGGCCTGGCAGACAAGACCCTCTTGCATCCTTCCTGCCTCTGCCACTCACTCGAAATATGACCTCTTGCAAGTTAGAGGGCTGGCTGTGATGGCCACCTGGCTGCCACCGTGACACTGTGAGGCGGGTACCAATCCCAGCACAGACTCTCGGGAGGGCCACTGGTCATGGGCAATGTCAGCTATCCATATGGGCATCCCTTGTACTGCTCTGCCAGGGATGGGGGTGTCCCTGCATTTTCACCCTCCCTCTGCTTTGCCAGCTGCACTGTTTGGCGGAGGTCATGGAGGGGGCAGCTGGTGCTTTGGCCTCTGTCTCCTCCCTCCTTCCACAGATCCAGTTTTGAATGTTTGTAAGGCCCCTAAAGCTTGACTAACTCTCTTCCCTGGGGTCTTGAAATGTGATGGCTGGGGGTGGTCAGTGTCTCCTGCTGTCAGTCCTGCCCAATCTGACTGTCCTGCTCAGTCTGACTGGCTGCCCCTCTGGGGAACCCCAGATAGCTTCTCAGGGGGAAGAAGGGGGTCACACCTCTCCAAAGGGGGGTAATGACTGTCCCAGGGTCACATAACAGCCAACAGCAGATTCCCCCTGAAGGACCCCTTGTGTCTGGCTGGGTGCCTGAGCCAGGGACATCAAGAAGAGGGGAGTGGAGGAGGCAGAACAGGGCGGGGCCCTACTCCACCCGGCCCACAGCCCAGAACTGCAGGCTTCAGGGCATCAGGGCCTAGCGGGCGCATCTGAGCTTCCTGCTGTCTGTCGTGGTCTTAGGTGGGTTGGGAGCTATGGTGGTAGAAGCGGGTGGGGGCACCTGGGTTTGACTTACGGCCACTCTGTTCCCTGCTCTTTGGCATGAGAGGAGGACCTCGAGTCTCTTGGGTAGTGTGTCCCGTGTCGGGACCATAGAGAGTGAGCGTGCTTTGAGAGTGTCGGAAGAAGGCAATGAAAATGGCATTTAAAAGCTCTTAGTACGTGCCAAGCATTTTCCCATCTAATCAACTGATCTGAATCAATCACCACTACAAGTGGGCAGGCATTGTTATACCCATTTTACAGACGCAGACACTGAGGCTCTGAGCGGTCAGTGCCGGGAGAGGAGAATGGAACGGAAAAGAGCCTTTCTCACGCGTTCCCCGTGCCTCCAACACTGTGCAAGACGCTTCTCCGAGTCCCCTCCTGGAAATCTTCCAGTCTCACCTGCGAGTAGTAACGCTCATCCCCGTAACACCGGCGGACATGCGAGGCTGGGAGACCCTCGGGGACCACCCAGGGGTCCGGCAGCTCCGCGTCTGCCGCCGGGCACCGGAATGACTGCGAACGTGGCCGCCGCCCGGGTGCCCCTCCCACCAGGCCGGCTCCCCGACGGGGCGGGCAGCGCTCACCTCGATGCGGTCGATGCGGTCCCGGAGGGCGCGCACGGCGTCCTCCAGCTCCAGGACGAGAGCGGGCGAGTCCCAGGACCCGTCGGCCATGGTGTCGCGCCGGGGCCCGGCGTCCTGGAGGCCGCGCGGCAGGCCGCTCTCGCAGCGGCCCAGCTTGCGGGTGAGCTCGCGGATGGTGTCCCGGTCCGCGCGGATGCGCGCCTCCTGCTGCAGCGCCGTCTGGCGCAGCTGCTCAGCTGTGCTCTGCAGCAGCAGCAGCTCCTCGCGCTC